GATCTTAGTTACAGTTTCTGGGGGAGAGTGTGTTATCTAGTGTGATCAACAATCTGAACAAGTCCAGCATGCTCAAGCCCTCGGTCATGATGACTTGTGGCTTCATGCTAGCACAGCTATTAATGGCCCTCAAGAGTTCCGTCTACCCAATTTCAGTCAGAAGGCTTGGGTCAACCTGTAGTATTGTTTTTCAGGCACTTGCCAAAAGTGCAGCATGCTATGATCAACCTTGATCCATTCTGATAACATCACAAAGTCTCCTTCCTGGCAAATTGACCATGTTGAGATTCGAACCCTGGTCTCATGGTCAGAAAGCGAATGTTCTAACCACTCAGCCATGCACCCATATATATATATATATATATATATATATATATATATATATATATATAGCATATTCCAAGCATATCTGCCTACTACTGGAGCAACTAGTCAATCCCTCTGTAAGTGCCTGCTCAGGCACATTTGTCTTTGTTCCACACCCACAGAGCTCATCTGTGTTTTATACTGCAGCTCTGCAGTGTAGACCTTACTTACATCTTCTTGAAGAGTGTGCATTATCTGGTGTAATCAACAGTTTGAACAAGGCCACTGCACTCACACCTTTGGTCACAATGTCTCATAACTTGTTTCTAAACAGCTTCATTTTCACAGTTTTGCTTACAAGTCAATCAGAGGTGGGGTTTTCAAGCACATTTCAAAAAGTGACACATACTGGAATCGCCCTCTCAGTCTAATAACATCAATATGTTACCTTCTTGACAAATCGATCACAGTGAGATATGATCCTGGGTATTATGGTCTGAAAGTGAAGATTCTAATGACTTGGCCATGTGCCTATGTGTATTATACATGAATAATTACAGTATTAATGACTATATTAGATATTTGTATAATGTGAGTTGTATATAGTAAGAAGTTTTTTTTGGCGATAATAATGGTTACTGATACAAGTCTTACTAATTAACACATAACTGGGGGGAGAAGTCGATTCATACCTTTTATCAAGTGTATTTGTGTGTAACTGAATACAGTGTAACCCAGATATAAGAGAGTTGTCGGGACCGGAGAAGAAGTCTCTTATATCCGGGTTTCTCTTATATCCGGGTTTGGTCTATTTTATATACATTAACACAGGCTCTAATTTGGGACCAGAGAAAACTCTCTTATATCCGGGTCTCTTATATCCGGGTTACAAAAAAAAACAAAAAACAAATTGGAACTTGGGAATCCTGAGCCATTACACCACCCACACATCCAAGCTTACAGCACCTGGTATTCCAAAGTGATCACCCATCTAGGTACTGACCAGGAGTGATGTTGCTTAACTTCAGTGATGCATTTAGAGATAAAAGAGTGTATTTTCTTATTTGGTTTACTGCCATTCTGGAAAGAGCATGAGAGAGAGAAAGAGAAAAAGAAGCTGACAAAGAGTGAGGAAAATGGTGAGTACAAATGGAGAAAGAAAGCATAAAATAAGTGCAGCAGATGGAATAGAAAAAAATGGTGAGAAGGAAAAAGAAGGAAGGAATGAAAGTGAAAGAGGAAGATTAAAAAAAAACCAAACTAAAAATAAGAAAACAAACAGAAAGAAACAAAAGAATAGAAAAGGAAAAAGAAAAAAGAATAGAAAAAGAAACAAAAAGACAGAAGTAGAGTGAGAAAGAGTGAGAGCGAATGAAGAGTTGGGTGAAGAAAGATGAAAAGTCAGTAAAAAGAGAACTCAGACAGAAGAGGATTTGTAAGTTTAGGACCCGATCATACAACACTGATGAAAGACAAACACCCGACAATTCACTCAAAGACGTCAGTGCCAACATTTGCAAAATGCGTCTAACAAAGTTGTTTGAAAACCAACTCATAAAGCTGCCAAACTAAATCGTCAGAAGTTCATCAAAGCTATTAGCCACCACCATTCAAACATGTCTGTCTCCCTGCACGTTTATTGTTTGGAATAAAAACAAAACTTTTTGATGCATCCAGATACAGGTTGACATAACAGATAAATAAGCTTGGGTAATTAGAACTAATGAGTAACTTACAAGCAGATATTAAGTTGGTGTAGTGAGAGGAAAACCCTGAGCCATGAAGTAAAGAGTGCAGAGAATTTGGATCGGAACCAGAAATTTAAAGCCACCCAGAAGAAAATGATGAAGAGAAAACTTTCTCAATTACTTTCCATTTTAGACAATCTCCTCTCAGATGAAGAAATGACTTGAAGCAATAGAGATGTGGTTCTACTGACAAATATCCTTAGAAAGAAAAATTGCTGAACACTAATGTAATACTAAATTGCAGTGAATGATGGACAGCTCATGGTATAGTTTCTAGGTGCTTTCCAACGGTGCTGTATGCTGGAATTGCTTCCCCAGACTGATAGCATCAAGAAGTCACCTTCCTAACAAATCAACCATCGTTTCATGGTTTCACTCACAGATGAAGAAAAGATGAAACGACAGAGATTTGGTTCTACTGATGAATGCTAAAGATTATTTTTATACTAAAATACAATGCTTGAGTGCTACTCAAAGTAGAGGGCAAGAATAAGAATGGCAATGATGAATGAGATATGAATGGAAAAGGAGGTGACAGGCAGTGAAAATTATGAGTATATGAAGGAAAGTTAATGATTGTTCTTTGACTTGGAGAGTTCAAGATTGAACTGTTCAGAGAAACACCCACATGGTAATCTATTCCATGAAGTAGCAGTTCTTAGGGTAAAAAAAGTAAAAATTTCTTCTTATATTTGGGACATGAAGAAAATGAAAGTGAACCAACTCTGAGGAAATGACATAGGGCAGAGCCTTGTGTCAGGAAACAGCTACTTGACTCAGTTTTATACTGGGTCTACGGGTAGTTTTTGGCTGAGCCTATGGGCTTGGGAACCCCACATTAAATTCGACCTTGTGCCACATCTGACTGCATAGGGCAGTTGGTAGATACTATCTACAGTTGGAGATTCATTGTGGAATTCACTTAACTCACTTCTAGCAGTTGATTACTACTTTTGCATGCCACTGGCAAATCTTATATGTGTTGTTCATGCCCTAAGTGTTATCATTAATTACCAACCTTTGTGTGATTATTCTATTCAGTAACCTTCCCTAGGTTACAACAATGATGTTATATTCTGTGCTAATAGGAATATATACTTAAAAAACACAGTGGATAAAATAAGTAATGGTTTATTGTAAAAAACCAGTACGATAAGAAATAAGGTACAGTTATGCACACGGTTGTTGCAAGTCAATCCAGTAGTGAGTGCTACTATTAGAAGGTCAGTAGTTCTTGCGTAAGTCTGAGTCATACTCAACAGATCCCAGCTAGACGGTATTTGCTAGACCCTCGCCCCACGAGGGTAGATGTGGCACAAGGCTGAGTTTAACATGGGTCTTCCATAGGTTCAGTCAAAAAATCCCTGTAGAACCTGCATAAATGGGATCGGGTTGGTCAACCTCCCCAAATGAGACTCTGCCCTTCGGCAGATCCTCATCCAGGTTTCTCTCTGCTCAGAGACAGAGAGCTTGACCTGCAAGCTGAAAAAGATTTTGGCTAGGATATTTAGCCACCCCCACCCCCCATGAGGGTTGCATGTGGCACAAAGCTGGGCTCGGCCAAAAAATGTCCGTAGAACCCGATAACGGGATTGGGTTAGTCAACCTCCCCGAATGAGACACTGTCCTTCAGCTAAGCCTCGTCCAGGTTCCTCTCTGCTCATAGGCAGAGAGTTCGACTTGCAAGCCAAAAAAGATTTTGGCTAGTCTCTGTAGTCTGTTGACTTATCGATACCTATAATGTAGTCACTCATGGGGGTGACAGGTTATTCCATTACATCAAATAAATAAAATAACATCATATGCCGAATTATTTCAAAATTATCATTAAGAGAAATCATCATAAGACAGGAATTTAACAAGAAAGAAAGAAAGATGGGAAGATAGAAGTGTTTAATATCTCCTGCTAGTGCCTGATAAATAATGGACTATTCTGTTTTGATTCCTTAGAAAATCAAAAAATATACGCTACTTGGTTTCAGTGAGAAAATGAAAGGAAAAAAGAAGGAAAGATAGACGTGTTTAACAGCTGTTTCAGTGAAATGGAAAATCATTTTATTTGTACCCTCTTACTTCTTAAAATAACAACCACATTCATATTTGTGATTGTTATTGTAATATTTTATTAAAGTTGTTAAGCTCAAATATTTAACGATGTGATAGAGGAATTTCTACTGATATTTTATAGTCATAGAACTCACCATGACCTTATACAATCATTAACTAAAGAATTAGGATTCATCAGAAATTTAAATTAGGAAAACCATGAAATTTTCAATGGTTAAAACTAATGGTTATAAGTAACTATGGGCTTGTAATGTTGCATCTTTAAGAAGAGGTCTTTCTCCACAAGACTGCATAAATCATTTTAAATGCTATCAAGGCTGGAAAGTGAGGATTACCCAATGCAGCATTTTTCTTTCAATCTGACAATTGCAAAGATAAAGCATCATAACAAGGCACAATAGAGAGAATAACAGGAGAAAAAGTGGAACCAGGAGGAAACTACTGAAATTCCTGGAGCATATAAAGTGGAAAGAAAGCTTAGAGAATTTAATGCTCACATATACAAAATGTACAAAATTATGGTGAAAACATTAAGTAACCTACCTAAAGAGTGAACAAATGGGAGGACAAAGAAATATGGTTTCTTGATATGGATTCTCAACCTGGTACTAAGTTTAGATTGATTGAATGACTGATTTATTTTCTACAGTTTATCAACCCATTGCATTTTATTTAAAGCCAGAAAATATTTTGAGATTGTAAGAATTTTTTTGGTGATAATAATTGTTTAGTGAGACAAATATTACTAATTAACCCATAGCTGGGGGGGAGCAGGTGAAATCATACCTTTTATCAAGAATATTTTTACGTAAGTGAATATAATGAACACAAAAGGAATTGAAACTTGAGCCATTATCCATTACCATCCACACATCCAAGCTTACAGCACATGGTATTCCCAAGTGGTCACCCATCTTGGTACTGACCAGGCATGACATTGCTTAAATTCAGTGATCATACAGGAACCGGTGATTCAACGGGATGTGGCTGTAAGCATACTAAGTTTGGAACATGTTTTATAATGAAACAAATAGAAACACTTTCTTGACATTCCTTAATTAGAAATAAAGCTTAATTAAAAACTGAATAAATTTAATCGGATGAATGATCTGCTAGCAGCTGTTGATGAAGACATTTTTTCTGTTGCTTTTATTCACCAATGACTAAAGAAAACACACACTGATATATGGGACCAAAACAATAATTTAAAGTGATTAGGAAATGTCTTTCCTTAAAATCGTTTTCCCACATTAATTGGAAGTCGTTAAGCAATGTCTTCTCTTACAATACTCCTAGCACATTAATTTAAAGCAATTAATCAAATTTTCACTTACAATTCTCTTAACATATTGATTTGAAGTCATTAAGGAAGGTTTTCCTTACAGTTCACCTAGAACATGATTTTAAAGTCATTTAATAAGGTTTTCCTTACAGTTCTCTTAGAACATGATTTTAAAGTCATTGAATAAGGTTTTCCTTACAGTTCACCTAGAACAAGATTTTAAAGTTATTAAATAAGGTTTTCCTTACAGTTCTCCTAGAACATGATTTTAAAGTTATTAAATAAGGTTTTCCTTACAGTTCACCTAGAACAAGATTTTAAAGTCATTTAATAAGGTTTTCCTTACAGTTCTCTTAGAACATGATTTTAAAGTTATTAAATAAGGTTTTCCTTACAGTTCACCTAGAACAAGATTTTAAAGTCATTTAATAAGGTTTTCCTTACAGTTCTCTTAGAACATGATTTTAAAGTCATTGAATAAGGTTTTCCTTACAGTTCACATAGAACATGATTTTAAAGTTATTAAATAAGGTTTTCCTTACAGTTCACCTAGAACAAGATTTTAAAGTCATTTAATAAGGTTTTTCCTTTTCTCTTAGAACATGATTTTAAAGTTATTAAATAAGGTTTTCCTTACAGTTCACCTAGAACAAGATTTTAAAGTCATTTAATAAGGTTTTCCTTACAGTTCACCTAGAACATGATTTTAAAGTCATTTAATAAGGTTTTCCTTACAGTTCACCTAGAACACGATTTTAAAGTCATTGAATAAGGTTTTCCTTACATTCCTCCTAGAACATCAATTTGAAGCCATTAATCAAACTTTCATTTACAATTCTCCTACCATATTAATTAAAATTTTTAAGTCATGTATTTTCTTATGCTTCTCCCACTACATTAATGTGAATTCCTGAAACAATATATTCCCTTATAACCCTCTGACCACATTAATTTGAAGTTATTTTGCAATGTCTTCCCTTACCGTCTTATTTCTGACCTGATTAGATTAAAGCAACCGGGGTAACTTTTATTTGAGAATCAATAAAATTTATAAAGATAAGTTTTGATCTTTACTTTCACTTGACTTCGCAAACACAAATATTAAGCTTTCATTAGTTGCTCAGGAAAACAATCATTACTAAATTAGTGGTTAGGTTTTAAAAACAGAGATTCCATAATTATATATTTTCCCTGATTATTGAATTTCTTGTCAGGTGAGAACATCTTGCCTAAGATAAAATTACTTATATTATTACCATCACTTTAATTCTAATTTTCTTCAAATATACCTTCTATCTTCTATGTGCCAAGTTCCTTTGGAACTTGGGTAATCAAGACTCTCCACGACTTCCTATCTTTTGGAGCTCTTAGCAGTATTCCTAATAATAGAATGTTCAGAACATGGAGTGAGGAAATAGAAAAATAATACTATTCCACCACTTCATGTTCTGTCATCCTTCGACACAAGGTTGTGAGAGGTTACTTGCTCTTTCCCTTTGTCCCACTTGCTTTCGATATGTCCTGTGAGTGTCAAATTCTCCAAGACTTCTTTTTTTATTAGGTGTTCCAGAAATTTGAACTGTCTTTTTATGATTCTAAGTATAAGTACCCCATGTATTTCCATTTTCATTAAATCTTTCTCATTGCAGAGTGACGTTTTTTTTATGGAAATTAGTACAGATATTTAAAAGTGTATAATTATGAATAGATAGAAAGATTATCTTTTATAAAATAAATGCTCGAATGCAGGCAATAAGATATGCCTAAGTAAAATGCATGCACAAACAATATTGATAGAAATAAAACTTAGTCTGATAGCATTTACTCTACCTTCATCTTCTGGCTATCAGCACAGAAAGTGGAATGAACAAACCGGGTCCAAATTTCGAGCTTAACCTTTTTGCGTTCACTTTTGTACAAATGCCTTTGGGAAAGATGTAGCAATAATAAGGGTAATTATTTACACTATTTACATTGTTCAGACTGTTTTCCTCATTTTATTGTCACGTTCACAACGTTTCAGCTGTTGTAGGCTCCGGACTTCTTCAGGTAATATTTGTTTGAATTTGAACCAAACCCAGAATAGTATATCTGTATGTTAGCATTTATGAAGATTGGTTCAATGACATTTTTATAGACGTTCTTCCCATATTTATTTCCTGAAGCAAGCATTAAATGTCGTTGAACCAATCTTCAGAAGCAGCAACTATTCTGGGTTTGGCTCAAAATTTAAACAATATCACCTGCAGAATGACAAAGTGTACAATGACCAAAACACAAATGCAACAAAAATGAAGACAACAGTCTGAACAATATAAATAGTGTAAATAGTTACAATACCTCACCTCAGAAATATAGACAGATGGTAAAGGTAATACTGACTGTTTTCTTATAAGAAAACATTTTTGACATTCATTGACTGAGCAGCCAGTGTTATTTTTGGTTGACATTTAAAAAATGTTTCTATTGAAACAATTTTCAGGAAAATATGTTTCTCAAGTTCTCTAAATTATATCGCTCTTTTCGATATTGTTTGAGGTTTCCTTCCTAACATCTTGCTTGAACTAGTGTGGAATGTCAACATTTTGATTATGTCATTATGTTCTTTTCAAGTTACATATGCTATCCATTTTAGTTGCTGTTAAAAGTCTTCAAGTGATCTGGTTTCTTATTTGCTAAAATTCTTTGTGGTTCTTTAGCACCAGCCCACAAGGTTTGAAAAAGTATAGTCCTCACAAAGACCTACAGGCTTCATTCACTTCAAGCCACCTTTAACCATTCATCGGAAAAAGTGGTTGTATACAGCTGACAGTTTACACATTTCTGAATGAGTTTTGTGTAATGCATGACATCCATATAAAGTTTTTTACCTGACAAGGCTATCTAAGAATCCATCTCTTCTACCTTCAACTATGGTTTAAATTGTAGAGTAGACTGGGCTCTTTAGCCTTGAGTGGTAGTCAGTATAAGAGAAGGAAAAAGTTAGTATTGGAAACTGTAAAGAAGGCAATGGGCAGCAACTCCATTATCTTTCCAAAGAAAGCATAACAATTTATAAATAATAAAGAAAAAGTAATCTGTGGAAAGCCAAGACTGCCTCTGTCCTGAAGAGAAATGGCATTAAAAAAGAACTGAAGATGTTAATGACTGTCAAATCTAATTCTCTAGTTCCTGTGGTTCTACAGAAGGATGCTGAGAATATCAGGGACCAAATATGTAAGCAACAACAAAGTTCTTAGAGAAAATGGAAACAAAAAGGACATTTATACTTAACATCAGGAATAGATAGTTGAAATTTCTAGGGCACATAATGAGGAAAGAAGGCTGGGAAAATTTGATACTTACAGAACAAATTGAAGGCAAGAGGGAAAGAGGTAAACAATACAGAACCTACTTATTGAACTTAAGCAAATTGGTTGTGGAACAAGGTTTAGGAGAGATAACAAAAAGACAAAATTTATTAAGTCTACAAAGGAAAAGAAATTGTGGGAAGACATGATCACCAATGACCCAAATGGCATGACACACAGAACAGATATTACAACTAAAGGTATTTGAATAGCCACAGAAATAATGAGTCTTTTAAATATCTTGTTTAATATAGATTCAAGGGTAGCAGTTGATAAACTTTAACAGAAAGAAATAGCAAACGGCAAAGGTATCTTCCTTATGACACAGTGTCATGTAGTATCTCAGGTAATATCTTGTGAAGTATAGCAGTTGCTGCTGTTGAGCCTGACCTGTGGCACTGAAGTAGTTGATTGAATATGAAGAGATAACCTTTTAGGCATCATACCAGATATGTCATCAATTTGCCATAGAAATAGCAAATGCATATAACTGTATAACTGAGTAAATTTGAATAATTAAATCAGTCCAAAATGTGTATATATTCAAGATAACTCAAAAACAGTTTGATTAATCTTTATAAAACTGTAAAATAAATATTTCGCTATATCAAAATTATTTTAATTTTTAATGCACCTTTACTGCAAATTTTATTGCATGTATGCATCTAAAGTCTATTTCTTTACTATTATTATTATCATTATTATTATATATTAGGGTGTATCAAAAGTAGTTTCATTTTTTATAGACCTTTACTCCAAAGTTTATTTCATGTACACATCTACAGTCTATTTCTTTACTATTTTATTATTATTATATATTAGGGTGTATCAAAAGTATTTTCATTTTTTATAGACCTTCTATTTAGTGGTGAACAGCTTTCTCAGATCAATGGTTAAAAATGACTTTGAACAAGTGATGACCACCCTTCTTTGAACTTTGTGAACTGGTGCAAAAATGTTTTTGGTTGAAATTTATTTTTTTTTTTTTTTAGAATATATATTATTTATGGATTGCTATATTTTTTTGTTTCTTTGTGTTTGGGGAGGATTATATATTATTATATTATTGTTATGGTCTGGTTCCTTGTACCACGGTGATAGTCCAAGGTAGAACCAATAAAGAAGAACTCGAACACGGATATGGAATAACACAGATATATTACAAACAGGAATATATACAGAGAAGTAGAAGTGTTAGTACGAACAATCAGATTTAGTAGAGAGAACAATGTAGTCTCGACCAGCATTACTATTCCAATGTCTTGCAGTAATTGTCTGAACCCAACTCTGTTTCGGACTGCCTCTGACTCAACTCTTGACTCGACTTGAACTACTGACTCCTTGCCTACTCCTGAGG